TCTGGCTTGTGCATCCTCCTGATAGGAGGATGCTGTTAAATGCAAGCCAGGCCATATCTCTTTTTTTGCTCAGGATCCTCCCACAGCTCCTTTCTCTTAAGAGAAAAGCAGCCAAATTCTCCTTCCCATCTATAAGAAGTGACCCCCAGGGTTACCTCTCATCACTTTTCCAGCTCACTCCACGCCAGTGCTGCCTAGTCTTTCAGTCTAAACCTTGCACCTCTTTTCTATTCCTTCCCACTGCACACAAGGCTTCATCTTGGAGATCAGCCTGTCTGACACTCTTCCTCCTACAGTTCTCTACCCAAATGTTATTTTCTCAGTAATTTCTTCTTTGATGCCTGCATCTTAGCAACCACCCCACCTTTGTCCTAACTTATCTCATCCTCCTTGATGCTTGAGAACGCAGACCAGCACATAGCACCAAGGAACATGCCTCCTGTAGCATTTTATCCATGTGTGTCTATCTTTCCCCAGGAGAACATAAGTTCTAGGAGGACAGAGGGCTTTTGTTAGTCCATTTGCTCTCTATGATGCTCCTAAATAGAACAGGACACTGATAAGTGGTCAGAAAGCACTTTAGAATAGTGAAGAATACTTCTGATGTTTCCATCTATGGTCAAGGTCAGCCTGGCACTTATCACTGTAGTATAGACTTTTCCCTTGCCACTCTTACATCAGGATGAACCATGGGCCATTCCCAACCTGGCCTCTCTCCTTCCTCTAACAAGAAATCTGTTCTTTGCTGTTGGCAGCATTAACACTGTTAATAGCTCCAGGCATCAGTGGCCACTCCATGACCTTCTGGGTGTGGATTCTTGGTTCTTCTGGGAATGTCTATGAAGCCAGTTCAGTAGTCAGTATCGAGTCTAGATCTCAGGCCAGAGGCTGAGCACATCATGTTCTCAGCCCGGCTGTCTGCTGTTACTTAATTTAATATTGAGTGTTGGGCCAAAATTGACTGCTTTCTGCCAAGTTGAAAACCAACTAAAATACTACATTGAATAATTCTTCCTTTTTTTCTGAGTTTCTTTTTCCCTGAACTGACTATTGTATCTAAAGTCTTACAGTTTGATAGAAATGCCATCCTCTTTAATTTTTCCCATCATTAAGAAAGTAACTGGAGCTGATAGGAAGGGACAGAAGATTGGTGTCTGTGAGGATCATGCTTCCTAATTCCAGCAGCCTCATCTCTCAAGGCAGTCTGTCTCTTATTAGCATCTTCATTTTGATTCACACCTAGCCAGTTCCTACTGTTAAATGCACACATTAGAGTATTTTCATTGACTTTAAAAGAAACAAAGTATGTAGTTATTAGTAAACAGAATGCGCACAGGAAGAAAAATAAATTGCCTTTCCACGAAGAATTCAAAATTATACAGAAAATAGTGTAACTGTCTATACCATTAGAAACCTGTCCCCCCAAAAAAAAACACAGATGGGGGGTAGGGGAGATAGGACAAAAAGCAATTCTTTTGCCAAGCAGTTTGTAAATTAAATTTTCTGTTAAATTTGTAGTCCTGAGTGAAGAAGGAAAAACACTTATCTTATTTTAACCAAATTTTGTCACACATTATCCTCTGTCCAAGGGTGACACCTCCCAATCACAGGCACATGTTCCCAAAACAGTTTAAGTGGGAAAGAAAAGCACATGTCTAAGGAGACCTAGAGATACTAGTTCGAGAAAAGATGTGGGGCAGAATACAGGAGAAAAAGGCAGGAGCTGTCTGTACCATGAAGGAGGCTAGAACCAGTGATAGCTGCTCATCAGATTGTAGGATGCTGGTGCCTTGTTTCATTCTTTGTGTTTATGTCTCTGCTTCTCCAAAGAAGCCCTAATCAAAACACTGAATCTACCTGAAGATAGGTCACAAGAAGCCTTCTACCTTTTTTTGTTTGATTCCCTGTCCCTTTTTATATGACTGCTATAATAATCACACCATGATTGCATCATTCAGAGAAACCTTTTCTTTTCATTTTTCTTTTCCCTTTCCTTCCTTTGTTTACTTCATTTGTTATGTTGGTACTGGGGCTTGAACTCAAGATCTGGGCACTTTCTATTCAGGACTGCAGCTCTACCACCTCAACCATATCTCCACTTTTGGATTTTTATTGGTTAATTGGAAATAAGAATTTTAAAGTATTTCCTGCCTAGGCTGCCTTTGAACCATGATCCTCAAATATTATCCTCTTAAATAGCTAAGATTTCAGGCATAAGCCACTGGGATCTAGCTGATCCTTCATTTTCTTGACCTGCAACGGGAAATGAATTAAAAGTGAATCCTAAAGAATGGTAATAGTGAGTTTCCCCTGGCTACATAACAATATTCTTGCCCACTTCCTAAATGGGACAGAAGACTAAGAGGTGAACATCTGTCTTTGTACCAAAGTGAAAGAGTCATTCATGGTTCTCCCAGTGCCTAAGTAAAATGCTGAACCAAAGGCAACTAGTTCTTGTATTAAAAGAAGCAAACATCTATTAACAGGACATACTCTTCTCTTACTGAGTTTTGAAATGATTGTGTCATACTAGTTTTTTATGTTTGAATTTTTAACTAAAAGTTTCCTAAATATTTTCCCAAGTATTACACTTAGTAATATGATTTTATTACTAAAAAGGAAACCCTTAAGTCATTTATATATCTAGAAAATATATTTGAAGGACTGATAATTCCTAGCTAGTGAGACAAATGAAATGGTTTCCAGTATGTCAACATTTGAGAGAATACACCATTCTCTTTTATTTTTTACAAGTTTTTTTTTCAATTTTGATTTTGAATGCAAAATCAAAATTAAATGATGGTCTTCAGTTTCTAAATTTAAAATGTTATTTCTTTCTGCGTGGATTTTTTTAAATTCTTCCCTTTTATTGCATGCATGTTTTATCTTTTAAGTTTTTCCTAGCAGTTTACATAATGGGACAGTGTTCAACCATGTTGATCTATGTTTCATGATTTATGTTCCAGTGGTTTCTTTGAGTTGTGTACTTCCAATGTAATTACTGTAAAATAATTGACACTGATACTTTGAGTATTTAACTGGACAACTAGTTGTAGAGATATTCATTCCAAGAAAATAGCAGAACTTTCCCTTGACATTGTCAGAAGTAAAAATTACCTGTAAAGGTTTAATTAGAAGGGTGCATCATTATGACAGTCACTTTGATAGAAAGGTATGTCTATAGTGAAACGTGGGATGAATTTGGCCTTGGATCTTTCATTTCTTATTTCTCCCTGATGGTGGCCATCTTTAGCTTTGGCAGGTTAGTCTGAAGTGGAACTCCTGATGTGAGGTCTCATGTAATATCTTAATGTGAGTTTTCATTAGAGAGAAATGAGATTTATATATTCCTGGAAGAAACAAACACATAGACAGTTACAGCTTAGTACAACCTATTTCTTGGGATGGATTCATTTTAGAATTTGCCAATCTGCTGTGTACAAGGACACAGATGCAGTGATAGTTCAAGTACCAAGGGATGTATGAGAGGAAAATTTGGAGGAAAGAAAGAAAGACCTGGTATAAACAGTCACTCTTAATTACATTTTTATCAACAGAAATTCAAAAGAAATTCTAAAGTACAAGGTTAGGATGTGATGCCTTTCTATTTCCCTAGTAAGGGTAATGTTGGTGACTCAGACACCAAACAGACAAATAGCATCACAACCTGATTGGATGAGGAAAAGCCCTTAAAAATCTATTTAATGATTATAGCCATTCTAACTGGGGGTAAGGTGGTTTCTCAGTGTTGTTTTGATTTGCATTTCTTTTATGGCTAGAGAGGTTGAACATTTCTTCATGTGTCTATTGGCCATCCTTCTTTCCTCTTCAGAGAAGTTTCTCTTTAAGTCTTTAGCCCACTTATTTATTGTTGGGGGATTTAATATTTTGAGTTCCAGGTATATTTTAGATATGAGACCCTTGTCTGTTGTATGGCTAGTGAAGATCTTCTCCCAATCCATGGGCTTTCTATTGATCTTGCAATGTCCTTTGCCATGCAGAAGCTCTGCAATTTCATGCAAGAGTCTGGATGGGAAGGGGAAACAAAGGAGGAGGCTACGATGCTTGATAAGAAATGTACTCATTATCTTGCCCACGTAATTGTAACCCTTCTATACAGTATTTTCACAATAAAAAAAAAGTCTATTTAATGAATTGAGTATTGCATTCCTAATATTTTTCATTTTGAACTCAAATCATTTAGGAGAGGAAATGGATATTTCATCAAACATGGACTTGACATTCCATCACATTACATTATAAGCAGGACAAAACAACTGTATGTTGGATATAGGCAGGCAAGAAAGCTGAGCCATAGCCTCCACTCTGAGGCCCTGGTTATCTCACTTAAACAGATATTAAACATGGGTGCCAGTGGTGTTACCACCAGCTGCTTCCCACTTTGTGAATAAATTGCTTAGAAGGAGCCTTTTGCCTACCAGATGTGACCTAGATTCAGATTTCTAAAGGCAGGAGGAAAAAAAATTCTATTGTATCAAAAAAATAAAAGAAAGAAAACAATTGCTGGTAAAAATGCATGGTAAATGAGCTTATCTCACTTTTCCAGGTGTTGGAACTAATATGTTATGGAATTATTGCTTCATTTATGAAAAATAATAGAAGAAAATGTTCCAGTAAATCACATTTGGATAAAGGCTTAGGGATAGCTATTGTGATGTTATTAGCAAGTTTTTAAATGGCAACAAGAGCAGGAGCCAAGCGAGATAATAAAAATATTTTAAAACTGTATTTGAGAAGACTTTCTTCTAAAAGGGTAAGATGCGGGTATGTTATGGTTTAGTAAAATATTGAAGAACAACATGAACAATTACAGCCCTTTCAGTGTATATGAAAGCTGTTTAAAAATAACGAAGCTTTCTGTCTGCTAGCTCTGATAAGTCTTATTACTCTGTTAAATGCAGCAACATTTTAAAAACTGTAACATCCTTATTCTCTCTTACCCACTCTATTTTCCTTTTGTTATTTCCTTTCACCTTCAGGAGCTGCCACTCCAAAACCAGTCCCAGAACCAGAGAAACAAACAGACCATACAGTTAAAATTGCTGGAGTCATTGCTGGCATCCTGCTGTTCGTTATCATATTTCTTGGAGTTGTGTTGGTAATGAAGAAAAGGTGAGCTTCTAGCCAAGAATCTAGTTATATCCAGTTTGTTTGTTCACAGACTCTGTGTGTGTGTGTGTGTGTGTGTGTGTGTGAAAATTTAGAATTACTGAGTTGGCATTGGCCACCAGGAACATCTGTGACTCTGTAATAATTAACATTTTTCATCATCTAGCATTCAAAGTTAACATATTTCATCATCTAGCATTCAAAGTTAGGGGACAAAAATTGTGAGATAAACAAGACAGATAAACAAGACAAAAAGAAAAGAAAAGGAAAACAACAAAGAAATAAACCTTGTTTCCATTTCCTGGAGTTCATTTTGATCAATGTTATTTATTTGAACAGAAGCACATAGGTATTGTGCCTTTGTTTCCTAATAACATTAGGAATAAATTTTAATGGCTGTTAGAAGAAATAGTTTCTGAGTTATTTAGTAGAAACATCATTATGTACCAAAGTGTGATATAGAGGAGAAACTAGAACATATTTGGGGAGTCAAAATGGAAAGTTCAACTGTGAACATTTTAAATTCCATTAAGTGAAGATGTTCCTGGTAGTTGGATATGTTGCTATGGACTAATAATAGTAATTTTGATAGTCTGAAAATCTCAACAGGATGGGTGCTAAAGCCCCACAATAGGAGAGTTCACTCTAAGTTATTGTAGAGGAAAAGGTAAGAAGATAAAGCCTTGGTGACAGCAATATGTAAGGGTACATTAATGTACATATGCACACACACACACACACACACACACACACACACACACACAAACCTGTGCTTCTTTTCTAGTGTCTGTCTTCATTTTAAATTTTTTGCTCAGGATAAAGTGTTGCTCTCTTGAAGAAGTATTCTAGTATTCTAGGCTTAGATCATCAGGTATTAATTTATCCTTCATCTTTTTTCATACATCCTTTATCCTTTTTTGTCTTCACTTGCTCTCTTCATTTTCTATTCTATTCTTTTTTCTGTTTATTCTATTTCTATTATTTTATTTATCTTTAGCTGTTTATTATGTTTTTTTTTCCTTCCTATGTCTGATTTCCTTTTTCTTTTTCCTATTCTTCACCTCTCATTTCAATTTTTTTCTCGGATGACATTTCTTGATTCCCCTCCCTCAATGCTTGTTTATAAGTGATTTGGAGCACCATGGCTTTTTCTTTTGTTAAATATGTGTGTGCGTGTGTGTGTGTGTGTGTGTGTGTGTGTGTGTGTGTGTACGTACATGACTCCATGCCTAGATATTGAAACTGAAAATTTCAGAGAGATACATTGTATTTGAGGACTCTTGGATCTATATGTCATCTACCAAGCTCTCTATAAGAAATAGCTTGAAGCTAGTAATCTAGTTGCCCTGGTGACCTTAACTAAACATTAGCTAATCCTCCACAAGGCTTTTTCTGCTAGATTAATTCACTTTCCTTTCTAGGTCTCTCAGGTAGTCACAAACTCTATGTTATAAATTATACATTTGCAGAGATTGCCTTCAGTAACATATGGCCTTGACACAACTTTAGAGTAAATTCCCATAAGTCATGTCAGATTTTACATGATTATTTACTACACAATAATCTTAAAAGGATTGTCTTCACAGCATGTGTCACTGCTGTATTTGCTTTTTTCTGAAATATAGAATATGCTCACCATAAGACAAATTAGCCAATATACTATGCCTATAAATACAACACTTGTAGAATTTAGATCTGAGTAGTCATATGGTACAACTGTCATATTCAATAGAAATTCTTGAAACTTTGAATTGTTTAGGATTTCTCACCACAATTCATTCTACATTTTAAAAGTATTTTTAAGCAGAATAGTTAAAACATGGTGTGACTCATAGGTAAGTTTCTGAGGTGTTACCGGTGCATAACAAGCATGTTTATTATTTAAGCCTCCCCTGTAGGACTTAGAAACACTCTCTTTGTTCAATCACTTCAGGACTGGAACTATTTTTGGTGAATATTTGATCTTTGAGCCACATCCTCCAGTGTCCCCCAAGTGGCCATCAATTAAAAAGGAAAAGCAACGGGGAAATGGCAAAAGAAATGAGAGGAACAGAAAAGAACTGTTTCAGGAGTAGGTTTCTGTATGTAATTAATCATCTCTTTACCAGCTAGAACTTAATACTATCCAAAATGGGCTATTCCTATATGGAATGAACCTGCTTTTCCTCTGTACAAAGCATTCTGAATCAGCAAGCACAATATTTTCCATAGCTCTGAAAGACAGCCTGGGCCCATGAGTAAATGGGGCTGAAACAAATCTGTCCATATTATTGGAAGGCTGTCCTGCCATGGCTGTGGATGAACTAGTCAAGTAAGCATACCTAGCCAAGTCAGCCTGGTACTTTACCAGGGGAGGATGGCAGATTCCAGCACTGCAGGATTGCTTGATATTTTCTTGGAAGCTATTGTTGATTATTAGCTTAGTTATCATCATTTTTGCCTCTGAGGGAACGTTCCTCCATTAAAAAAAATAGTTGCTGGGGCTGGGAAGGTGGCTCAGTGGTAGGGTGCCTACCTTGCATCCATGAGGCCCTGGGTTCTATTCCTCAGCGCCACATGAGCCGAAAAGTCCAGAGGTGGCTCTGTGGCTCAAGTGGTAGAGTGCTAGCCTTGAGTTGAAGATCTGAGGGACAGCGTTCAGGCCCAGAGTTCAGGCTCCACGACTAACAAAATAAAAAAAAAAGTTGCTAAAACAAGCCTCTCCTACAAAAATAAAATCTATTTGGCTCATATTAACATAATAGAATTTTTTTTCACATATAGGCAGTAATGATTAAGAACAGATATACCATCATTTTATTTGACTTTTGGGGGGGACAGGACATAAAAATTTTTTATACATTAGTGACTAATTGTTTTTTATTTCTAAGTATTAAATCAATTAAACATATTAATCATTAGCAGGATATTAGTATACGAGTTGTATTAATATGCCTACTTATATTATTAATATAACTATTAAAATATATTAAATATAGCTGGGCACCAGTGGCTCACACCTGTAATCCTAGCTACTCAGGAGGCTGAGATCTGAGGTCACACTTCAAAGCCAGCCTAGGCAGGAAAGTCCATGAGACTCTTATCTCCAATAAACCACTACAAAATCAGCAGTGGTGCTGTGGCTGAAGCAGTGGAGTGCTCACCTTGAGCTGAAGAGCGCACAGACAGCACCCAAGCCTAGAGTTCAAGCCCCACAACTGACAAAAAAATATATATATATACACATATATATATATTTGTTCTTATTCCATAGACAAGGCAATTTCTCCTCACTTTTCCTATCCTAATATGACTTGTTCTGTTCTTTTGATGGTGCATTGTTTTAATGTATCAAATGATAAGGAATGATGTACATTGACTATCTAAGATAAAAGCTTCATACAGAACCACATGGCAATATACTCTCAAAGTTACTTGGCAATAATCAAAATCACAGATACTTATTTTTACCATCCATGTATAATTAAATATATTTGTTTAAAGGAAAATACCTGCATTTTCAACATTTTTCATGAGGAATAATTTATCTCAATAACATGTTTGACAGAATTTAGTATATAACCACCATCAATTTTAGCATGATGAATTACCTTCACTACTGTTTCTAATATTGTTGAAGATCTCTCATAAGTTTGAGGACATTTGTATTAATTACAGTAATATTCCTCTCTCAGCCCTTTAGCACATAGAAATTGGAGAATTTGCTACTCTTGGAAAATAATTAAAGAAATATGAATTATTGGGAAAAATAGCAAAATGACATTTACTATTTGCCCCCTTTCAGCACTCAACCTAATGGTTTATTTAAATGTATTCTATTGTGGGTTGTATTTTTTTTTAATATAGGTGTTACATTGTAGCTCCTCATGATTCTCCTACCTCAGGCTCTTGAGTACTATGCCACAGGTGCAAACCACCTACACCATGCTTTTGGAAACTTGTTGTAAAGATTATGTTATTTTTAAAGAAGAGTAGAGAAGATATGTACCAGTCTTCTGTACATTAGGAACGCTCTGGAAGGGGCATGGCTTTAGAATTGTTCATACCTAGATTCATATCCCATTCTCTCCATTGAAGTAGTATAAACATAAACAAGGTTACTTTACCTCACTGAATTAGTTTGGAAATGTCTAGTCTAATCGTAGTGAGGATGATGTTTCCTAGGGGAATCATGAAGACTAAAGGGGATAATGTATATACATTGTTGGTGACTGATCAGTAATAGCTATAGAACCCAGAAGTTCAAATACTGATCCAAGGACACCAAGGTGGTTGACTATAAGGCTAACTATAAATGCATTTGTTTCTTAAACTCTGCTACAATGTCACTTGCCTGCATCTTGCTCTGTAAACTCCAGGCTCTTTCTATAGTCACCAACTAAAAAGAGCACCAAAGGCTCATACCTTCAATCCTAGCTACACAGGAAGCTGAGATCTGAGTATCAAAGCCAGCCTGGGCAGGAAAGTCCCTGAGACTCTTATCTCCAATTCACCACCAAATAGCCATAATTGGAACTGTGGCTGGAGTGTAGAATCCCAGTCTTGAGCAAAAGAAATCCTTGGACAGCACCTAGGCCTTGACCTATAGGACTGTCACAAACAAACAAACAGTACCTTCATCAGCTTGTTTATCATTTAGTATTGCTTTGAGACATTTGAGACAATACTAGAATGTCACAATAGGACCCTTATTTTAATTATTGAGTAGTTGTACAAAGGGGTTCTGTAAGTCAGGTTATGAGTACAGTGCTGCTTATCCAGTGTCACCCTTCCTTTATTCTTGTCTATTTCCCCCTCCTATCTTTACCCTCAAGTTACATGCTTTTAATATAATGTACATTGACTATAATAACTACCTTTGTTCACCCTTCCTATGTCTGTTCCTATGGCTGTCACCATTGCCCACCCCCCCCAAAAACATGTTTCTACTTCCTGGTATTCATTTTGATAAACAGTATTTTAATTGTTCAGATGAGTTATACCTTTGGATTCATCCCCTAACA